GCAAGGTTTTTTGGAGTGTAGCTAAATGTCGTGGGTCGTGGGTCGTGGGTGTGGGTGTAGGTGTGGGTGTGGGTAAATGTCGTGGGTAAAAAAAGTATAGAAAAAAAGTGATAAAGTAAAGTAATTGAAAAAAAGAAATAAATAGAAAAAAGTTGTAAAATGTTTGTGAAACGAATATCTCCAACTCCTTGATCGTCACGGCTTCTTCGTACTCTTCCTGTGGGACTTGGCTCCACTTTCACAACATCACTGTATAAAAGACATTTTGCCGATGTCGCCGCGAAGAGAACGAAACAGACGTAAATTATACCTGTAATTTGCAGAAAGTATGGGACAGCTCTGACTCGCTGAATGGAAATAGCTGCTCACTATTTATCTTTATTCGATCTACAATTCCAATGATCAGTGGAGATTTTTTAACATGATGGAATGCGATCACCGTGAGAAAGGGAAGAGAAAAGGACAATTTTTAGGTATTTTATATTTTTGGATAGACGTTTTAGGATCCGTTTTAGGTCTCTTACCTTATGAAGGAACCACCTTCATTCCCAGCCTTTCAAGTTAATAATTCAAGTTGAAATTCACCCAGATTAGGAAATTACAAAATGCCCGATAGATTAAGAGAAACATAAAAATAACCGCTTAGAACTTCAAAGGAAGGTTAAAATAACATAACAGAAACGACGGATGCCACGGATGGGCAAAACTGAAGAAGACTGAAACGGACTGAAACAAGGTTTTTGAAAACTGTTCAGCCTAACAGTTTTTCAAAGTTGATCCCTGCTGCTTACAGCTTCAAAAATAATGCTCAGGAGACTGTGTGTAAATTTTATTGCCGTACGGAAATACAATTTTCTCGATTACTTTTTGTTTTGTTTTGTGTACAAACTCTTTGCTGTAACGATTCGAAATATCAGTCTCCAGTTTTTGTATAGCCTGCTTCAGGTTTACATAGTGCACAGAGTTTCTTTTATTTTTCACCTAAATGTCTTTTTAGTGTCCGTTTGTACTAGAGGATTCGGTTATTTGTTTTGCTGACCGCGGGGAAGGGGGAAAAGGACTGGTGTGTACGCGGAGATTTCCTTTTCATGAATTTTACAACTTTTTGCTATTTAATTTTTTAATTTTTATTTCTTTTTGCAAGACTTTTTTTTTACCCACGACATTTACCCACACCCACATCCACGACCCACACCCACGACCCACGACCTCTACCCACGACCCACGACCCACGACATTTAGCTACACTAGGTTTTTTGCCACAAAAAATTGTACAGCTTCGCGTTTAAAGTATGAACTAGCTTTTTGTATCCGTTTGCGATGTGTTTGTTGGGTTTTTGATCTCGAATCAATGAATTATTGCTGATTTTTGGGCGATTAAAGTGATGCACTTCGACTTGATGAAAACAACATGGCGGCCCTACACAATGAACGCGTAGTTCAAATCAATTTTATATTCCTTTCTGCGGTACTAACAATGTAAAGTATTGTGTTCCAATCCAGAGTTAAATTTTTTTTTCTATCTTGTTACTGAATTCATTACTTAACTCAGTCTCTGTTTGGTTCCTATTTTTAACGTATCACTCCGCGAATATCATTTTATTTTGCTTATTTCTTTTAGACTGGGGAGCTCAGGTTTCATAACGCCTTCTGGTTTCTTCTGGGCTCCCTTGCAACCTTACAACTCCTATATGTATTCTTGTACTGTATTGTATTTTGGCTAAATAAAAGTGAGCTGAACTGAACTGAACTGAACGCCTTGCTAAAGTTAGAAATCTCGGCAACGCGAAACTGCAAACGCGTAACTGCGGTTTGCGGTTTGCGGTTTACCTGATGCTAAAGGTCTGTAATCAAGGAAACCGGACCTCATATTATTATTATAGTCAGCGCCGTTTTCAAAATGATTTTTTTTATATCATATCATATCATTGCATGTATTCTTTGTTTATCTTTCATCCCTTATTCAACATCATTTGTTATTGCTTATCCATGCGTCTAGTCTTCATATTTCACTTTCAGAAAAAGACTGCTTCTCTCCTCTTAACCTGCTTTTTAATTAAAAAAAAAAAAAAATACTTCAACGCTGTCGGTTGTACACACTACTCTGTTATTTACTCGGTCAGTTGTAAACATTTACCCTGTCGTTTGTACACACCACAAGGTCAGTTGTGTGCATTATTTAATCAGTCAGTTGTAAAAATTTGCTCTGTCGGTCAGTTGTGCACATTATTTACTCGGTAAGTTGTACACGGGTAATCTCTTACTTTTCTTAAAGATGTTTCCCGTCTTGATGTAAGATTTTACAAAGTAAACGTCTTAAAATAATAGCCTCTATTTTTGTTTGGCGTCTTCGTTTACGAAAAACCCGTCTTACCTTAACTTTGTAACATATCATTTAAGAGGAGTGACATGTTAAAGTGATCTTAAAGAAGTTTTAAGATGTTTTTGATTAGCTTGAAATCTTTAAGAGGTGGGCATCTTACTTAAGAAGCAAATTGTCTTAAACTGAGAAGTTAGATATAATATAAGTTTTTTTTTTCCAAATTTCCGATCAAAACATCCAAAGTGCCTCTCGTTGGTTTACCTATGATGCTGCTAATCACGGGCAAAGAAAATGGCAAAACAAAGAGAAACCGCCAGTGGGGAAAAGATTTACTGTGGACGACATCTTCTGTTTATGGGACACACAAAAAAGAAGATATAGGACTCTTCATTGAGAAAGCCAATGCTTACCACCCTACTCACATCAAGTTTTTTTTACTGGTGAAATATCAGAAATAGACCTTGGACACAACAGTGTACAAAGAGGTGGGTCGTGCGTAGAATCCTCTCCCGCCCCCATTTTATCTGCACTGATATTAAAGTATAGAAATAACGCATCACGAGGATTAAAATCCCGCGCTCACGTTTCAGGGAAATTTCCCAAGTAAAAGGACAGTGCATGGCAGGACCTGCTCAGAATGCCGCTGTCTGCAGAGTTAATGATGAGTCACTACAGTAATTAACGTTTAATAGTAGAGCCGATGTTTTGCTTTATGTGCCTCCCGCACAACTAGTGCAGAGAAGTAAGGGAGGCAGGTAAACATACAATAAAATGTAGGTGAAGGTAAACTAATGCTGACTGATAATAATACTCAAAAGGAACGTCATTTGACTTTCCCTTGTCTCAAACTTGACTTTGACCGTTTTCCGCCACGAGTACAGTCGAAACTCCATGTGCGACCACTTCTCGTAAGCGATCACCTCGGATAATTAAGCGACCGCCAATCCAAAACACCAAATTTTTCCCCCTCAAAGCCTTACAGTTTGAACCTCTGGTAAACGGCCATCTCCTGTGGGCCTGACGATTAGTAATTTTCCATTGTTTTTAAACTCTTGTAAGCGACCATTTGACGCATTCTCTGATCCGTCTATTTTCGCTGTGTGCACTATGTTACTTAGAATATACAGACAACTTCAGTGAGAACATGGAACTACACATATTCTAACTTAGACATTGCATGCAATAATTTATCTTCCATAAAGTAGATGTACCTGGACCTCTCCTCGGAAGAGACTACCCTGTTACTGCCGTGAAACGTTCACAATAACAGGTGTTACGATAAAGGCGTTTAGAAAATTGAAAATGGCTTAGAACACGGTTTGTTAAACACTGGCTAAACTCCGTTTAAATAACCGGCCTTAAGTAAGTCTTTTTAGACCTTTAAAAACGTTCATTTGAAGGTTCACTGGCTTCACTGCAAAATTTGTTCTCAGCTAAAACTCCGTTTTCACGAAAAGAAAATTGTTGAAAGTCACGAATATCGCATAAAAAAATTTAAAGTTAACGTATCACGACAAGCAAACCACTCGAGGTTCACGAATTTTCATTTTGTATTTTCGCCTTTCACGAAATTAAAAGCACTTAATCCCGTATCACGCAATAACCCCTTTCACCTCCTCTACAAAGGAAGAACGGTTCGAGAAAGAACGAATCCTCGATGTGCGTACACATTTTAAGCCTTGTACTGAAACATTTCAGTGCCACACTCCAACAGCTGTCACCCAGCATGCGTTTAACAAAGGTTTTGGCAAAGGAGAAGCTCTCAGGCTTCCCAGGACAAACTCTTCAAAAGCTATGTTTTAGGGGAACGTTAGAAAATTTAAAACACGCCTTATCTCTAGACGATGCCCGAAACTGAAAAGGTGGGAAGGAAGCTCTCAAACAAAAATTGGAAACGTACAAAAAGATTCTACCCTTTGTCACACAATTTCAACCGTCATTATACCAAACTTGAAAAACATACTTATGGACAAATGGCATTTAATACAAAACCAGCCGTTGCCCAGAGAGATATTCAGGGAGCCTCCCTTGACCTCTTATAGAAAAGGAAAATCGTTAAAAGATATGCTTGTTAAAGCAGAACTTTAAAAAGGCTTTGAAAGACATAATGGGCGCACAGCAGGAGTCGTGCTGGTCCGTCTGAACCCATTTTTAATATGAGAGTAAATGTTTACAATCTACCGTGTACGTAATGTGCACAACTGACAGAGTTTACACAACCGACAGAGTAAATGTTTACAACTGACTGAGTAAGTAATGTGCACAAGTGACAGAGTAGTTTGTACAACTTTACAACCGTCAGAATAGTGCGCACAACTGACAGAGTGAAATGTTTACAGAGAGTAGTAAATGTTTACAACTGACCGAGTAAATAATGTACATAACTGGCAGAGTAGTTTGTACAACCGACAAAGTAAATGTTTACAACCGACAGATGGCGTTCAACCTGGCGACAGAGTGAATGTTTGCAACTGACAGAGTAGTGCGTACAGCTGACAGAGTAATATACCAATCGACAGAGTAAATGTTTACAAGACTTACAACCGACTGAGTAATGTACACAAATGACAGACTTAAATTTCAACCGATAGTATTTCTCTAAACCCCACAAACAGCGCACCATACTCATTCGCTGACACTTCGCTTCGAAAAGCAAGGAGTGCCGGAAGGTTACAAAATGCGGTCCAATCATTTTTTGATCCTTGCTCTCCTGTTTTCGTCGTTTTCGTTGTTTGTGCTCAAAGTTGACGGTGATCCGCCACATATTTTGCTGATAGTCTTAGACAAGAGAATAGATCATTCTCTCTTGTCTTAGACGATTTAGGATGGAGTGATGTTGGGTTTCATGCTTCAACAATCAACACTCCAAACATGGATAAACTTGCTTCTGAAGGCGTAATACTGGATAATTACTAGCGGAGCTCCACCCGCGCGCGAAGCGCGCGAGCGTGGGCGGAGCCCCATAGGTAAGGAAATGTGGTAATCTACCCTTTCGAGAAAATTTGGTAAATCACGTGACCGTACGACCGTCCGTCCGCACCACAGGGAAACCAATGTCTACTCTCACACTTTCTAGCTAGTTTGGGAGCCCAAGGAAAAACTAATTGCACATCAATGTTGTGATCAATTGACAGCTGTCAAAAGAGGGCACCCGGCCGCTGACCAGTATCACCTGACCGTACCGCGGGTTCAAGTGTTCACCCATCGAGGTCGAGTATTTTTTGAAGTTATCCGCTGACAAATTACCAGTTTCAAATGATCGTAGGCTCAAGTTCATTTTTTCCAATGATTCATATGAAATAACCTACAATGACCTACAATGATCTACGATGAGCTACTACGAGCTACAATGAGCTACTACGAGCTAAAATGAGTTAAAATAAGCCCTACAATGAGCTACAAAATGACAGACAATGATGTTTGTCGTGTGTCACACTTGGACGTGACACTAGGCTCATGGTATTAAATTGCCAAGCACATTTTAAAAAGGCACAACAAAAATTGTGCGTGATCTCAGGTAACTTGAGAAACTTGAAAATAGATTATTGCAATCGCGTTTTTACCGGTATAGCACTATTATACCCTGTATTGACGGAAGTCATGCAGGCACTTCCTCATTTGGCCTAGATGGGTATGGGCCGCTGAGCAGGATATGGATTTTACTATTTAGCGTTACAAACAGAGCATCCCGTTGGAACGGAAGCCATTTAAAGGGTCTTATGATGTCTTATACAGGCCAGGGTACTTCAAAAAAATGAACAATTTTTCTTTTGAACAGGGTCAGAATTTGTAGGCCTCCTTTGTTCACCTCTACCCTTGCGTCCCTTGAAGATCCCCCCGGATCGACTGTTGGGGTGACTGTGTTTGTTCAATTTGTTTGAAAAAAAGACAAGACAAAATAAAACTAATGCGAAAGGTTGCAAGGGATGGTTTGGACAAAAGTCACAGTATCATCATACATGTATTATTACACTGTAAATTTATCTCCAAGCGTAATAATTAGAGATGCTGTGATCGTTAAATGGGCTGTCATGCAGTAGACTAAGCGCGTTACGTTTACGCACACGTCCCCTGATCTTTTTTTTTTTTGTCTTTTTCTAAAATCTTCATCTTAGCTCATTACAGGGATTACACGTTCGGTCATAGTAGCTCATTGTAGGACATTGTAGATCATTGTAGGTCATTGTAGGTCATTGTAGGTCATTCCTTGTTTGAGTAACTACGGTTTGTTTTCATCGTTCATGAACATCGCTTGCAGGAGTACTTTAAAAAAATGTCGCGCGTATCAAACGCTTTATAAGATTACACATCGTTATAACTGAAACCATTAAATAACAAAAAATTGTAATAATAAATTCGTTATTATGTTGAAACGTAACTCTTTTAAAGTTCATTCAAACACTCGATTACACTGACAGCTCGCACTAGAAACGAGAACCGGCCCGCCTAATGAGTGATTTTGGAAATTTTTTTTAACGGTTTCGCTAAAAGCCCACGATTGATCGTCCCGAACATTGACTGAGTGCAATTTGTGTTGAAAAATTGTGAAATACCGTGTTCTGTCCGAGGTCTGTATGATAAATTGTACGTACTGTTTCACCTCAGATCGTGTATAAAAAGTATAAAAGGTTGGTTTACACACCCCCAGATTTGTTGGCAAGAATTTGTAAAGCTAAAGTAAACCTGTCGAACGCAGAAAAATTCAGCCTGATTTGTTTTCCTAGAATTTGTTTTCGAGGCCTTATCTACAGCTGTGATCAAGAGCCATTATGGCTCTTGAATGTGATCGAAGATGTTTGCTCTTTTTTGGGTGTACATATAAGGCTATCAACTCGATGTAAGATGTTTCACTCTAAAATAACTTAGCCTTTCCCTCAAAAGTCACATGAATGTGCCCTCAAGTTAACTGATTTGTGGATCACAAGTTTATTGTTTGATTTAAATTATAAATTTATTAATGGGAGCTTCGCTTTTAGCCCTGGCTAAATCTATATATTATGTACAACCAATTTGCTCTCCAACCAGTGCTCTCCTTTCCGGAATGTACCCTATACATACGGGTAAAAATGCGTCGCGCAAATTTAGCATTACTGCCATTGATTACTTGCACGGCTTTCTTAGCATAGCTTGTTGTTTGTTGAAGTATCATCGCTGGGCACTGGCAATTTTTTCCAACAGTTCCAATGACATCGTTGAACTTATTCCTCTGGTTTACGGATAATTTCTTTTCCGGGTAGGGGTATTTGAAAAGTGATTACGCTAAAAGCCATGCAAGAGAGAAACCTCTACTCGCAGGGTAAAAAAAGCTTCAGTTCGGTTCAGAGAAGAACTTGGTCAATACCCAGCCTTATTATTCCACTATTATGTCATTTTACCATATAAGGTCAAGAGAACAAGCAAAATACGAGGCCGTAATACACCGTAGTGTCCTGGTTTAACCGGTTTACAACAGGGCGAATACCGGCGGATGCAAAAGGAGCAACTGTGGCTGACAGAATCAGGATGTCTTGGATACTCTCATTAGAAAATAGAAGCCAAAATACCATTTTTCTTTTGCAGTAAAATAATTAACCTCTCATTCAATGGTTTGGCATATAATACGCGCGAACATTTTGCTAATTGTTAAACGTCATTCTCACAGACAGAATCAGGAAGTCTCTGGATACTCTTACCAAAAAAATAGAAGCCAATTGCCAGATAATTTTTTTTGTAGTGGAATAATAAACCTCTTATTCGATGGTTTAGCATATAATACGAGCGGTCATTTTGCTCATTGCTCGTATTTTTCCTCGCCCCTACGGGGCTCGGAAAATACCACGCAACTCGCAAAATATCCACACGTATTATATGCTAAACCATCCAATAAGGTGTATTTCTTGACCTAACGCTTAGTCATTAACCTTATAACACTGTTTTAAAGCGAATATATTGATGATTGTAGGTTTACAGAGTGGAGTTATACGCTCTACGGAGCCATATGGACTTGCACTTGACATCACCATCTTACCGCAGAAACTCAAAGAAGCAACAACCTTGTGCTAAGTTTCATTTGCTCCCAAATGCCTGGCGTACTCAATCAATGAAAATCGATATCCAGCCTGCGTTCAGTCTCTTATTTCTGTTTTTTAAAGCCGCGATAGATGGACAGCACGAGTGAGAAGAAGAGCAATTCTTTTTCCTCTCTCTACGCCCAAATCTCCCCTACTTTTAATCATTTGTAATTTGCCGGCATTATTTTACTTTCTTGCTTGCCCTCATGGCTCCAAGGAAAGAGGGACGACCACTCCCGATCTGATCGATATCAATCGTTTTGCAAATCAATGGTTATTGAATTGAACTGAGTGAAGTGCAGTTTGGTCTGTATCTGATCGGACGGACGCACAGCGTGGATGAGGTTTTTGTGATATCCGGAATATCACAAAAACCGAATCTATAATAATAGTTTTATCATACATTGCTTTGAAGGAAATAACGAGAAACACACTGTCGCAAGGAACCTGAATTGACATAATTGTTATTGAAATTAGTCAGTTATCTGCTAGCAGATAACAAATTAATCTGTAGGTTGCGGTGATTTCCCAAAAAAACTGTAGGCTTTTAGCCAGTGAGAAGACAGATAATGAGTACAATGTATAATAATAATGCTTGTATGTATCCGTATCTCCGTATGTTACTCGTTTGTTACATACGAATGACATGCGAATATAAGGGAAAAATGTTTTGCGCTACCTTGCGCTAAATGGAATGATTCACTTAGGTTGCATTTTGAGACATTATTAAAATTTGTTATAAATACAGCTTTGCATGGTTTTTTAAAGTTACATTTCTCAACATTGTTAGACTTGAGGATTGTTTAAAAAGATGAAAAAGGCATTGGAACGTTTCCTATGTTACTTACCTTGACAATCGTATGCATCCGTTATCCTGCGTTGCAGCCGGCCCACGCACTCGTCTAAACCATTTGTACAGTCAGTCTGTATAGTCTATATAGAAGGTTTAGAGCGTCTGCGACGCAGGCTAGCATCCGTATGTTGCTTGCATGTATCCCTATATAACCCGTAAGTTTCTCGTATGTATTCACTTAGTAAAAGCGAAGTTAATCTGTTTCAGTAACAAATATCGACGAAATATGGCTGTGTAATGCTTTTCCGACCCGGGGCCAACTTTGCGCATGAACACACAGGCAATCACTGATTTTAACTGGTAACTTAGAAACAAATGATACATTTGTCAATTTTAACAATCACCATTGAAGAGTGGGACCAAAGGATCCCATTTCTTGTTTGTAGGATTTTTTGTAGATACTTGTTTATAGGATTCAATTTTATACACTTTTTTTTACATTTTTAGCTGAGGGATCTTGTTGAAGGTTCTACACCCGCCCGCCCATGTACTGCCATACATGGGCTATAGGTATGTGCCGCTGTGAAGGGTATGGTTTTCAAGCAGTTTACTCTAGGATAGGGTATATACATCAGAACATTTGGGTCTAGAATAAGGTATCATTTTTCAGAAAACTGATCAGTTGGTTGAAGATTTTATCTAGACCAGGGAAACAGCTACTCTAGGATAGGGGGGTTTTGGGGCGTTTACTCTAGTATAGGGTAGCAAAATTTAGCTGAACTAGCTCTGGTATAGGTTAAGGGTTCCAGGGTCCCAGCGGCACTTCCCCACCCCGAAATTCCTAAAGTGCCCCCACCCCCCCGGGCAAACTAAGCTATGAAGTCACTGATGCTGGGAGCAGGTCATGTGTTCGATATCGCGAGGTCTCGGGTTCAAATCCCGTTAAAGTCCTGAATTTTTTTCAGGCTTCTCTTACGCAATTGCATAAATTGCGTTTACAACTGCCAGGATCATTCTTCACTTGACAAGATATTATTGTTGATTAGTCAGGAGAGGAAAACATTTAGGAACAGGACAGCAAACAGTTCCAATACATAAAAGTCTGGAATTACAAGCCACGACCATTCTTTTTTGAATTTAATAGATATATATACAAATTTTAGCGTCACCTGCCCCCAACACAGTAAAGTGGATGTCAATTTCGAGCGCTTTTTATTTGCAGCAAGCACAGAAGGTAATTCTATCCCACAATGCCTCGACACCATTGTTTTTATGTCTACCATTTCAAAGCGTCCATAGTCCTCTGCAAGTTCCCACCGAGTACACAGAAAAATACGAAAACATCAAAGATGATGACAGAAAAATCTATGCAGGAATGGTTGAAAATGTTGATGAAGCAATAGGAAATATAACAGAGGCCATGAAGACAGCTGGGTGAGTAGATAATAAGCAGAGATCCGGACCTGTCAAATAAAACATCCATTTATTTGACATCAAAGTTACATTAGGGCACCCATAAGAATTTGAAGTACCCATTCGTAATAAGCACTTAGGGGTACGGAAGCAGGGATCATAAGTAAATTCCGGGGGAGAAACAAAAGGAAATACGATATTAATCCCCGGGGAAACCCTTTACTTGTCATTCCGTTAAGGGGTGAAAATCGCCAAAAGTTGGTCTCACTTTGTAAGTTTTTCATTAAAAGCAAATATTTTTTACCCACACAGGTACAACTTAGTTTTGTGCGGGACGAAATCGCCATATAAAAGTGATAAAGAAACTAACTGCAAAAACCGTGGACGAAGATCCCTCTCGTTGTAAACGTTGGATCTCTAGAAAAAAGATCTAATCAGCTAAAATATCCAAAAAACTAGAAGTCCAAAGACCACTACAAAGCTGATCATAACAACGTGTTTTGTTTTTTTCATAACAATATTTCGGTTGGCCATACCAGCCTTCTTCAGGTTTACAGATGTTACTGAATTTATGATAGGAACTACAATAATTAGTATATAGATAGAAATGTGGCAATAACCATTGTTGACAAGGGAGAGGCGGAAATGAAGTACAACATAGAAAAGAAAAGAAAAACTAATAAGGATATGGATTACAATGATTCGTCACGGCCGTTTAGGCCATTAGCTTCAAGAGTCATGGCCTTATCTATCAAATGTGTCTCCCTCGCCTTACGGACCGAGTCACGTGAAGAATGAACTTTCCCTAATGAGATTAACTGCATGTCACTGTGAGAATGGTCAGAGTGAGAGAGAAAGTGTTCAGAAACATTATTGGGTTTAGATTTAATGTTAGTTTTGTCGACTGGACGTCTGTGTTCGTTAAATTTGTCCTTGCGGCAAAAGTGACCAAACTGTGTTGAAGACAGTGTCGGTGTCAACATTTTTAGCAGAATTAAAATCACTATTGCGCTGATTTGATTGCCTGTTCTAGTATGGTCTCTTCTAGAGCTTAAAATGTTGAACTTAAGCCAATACTTGAGAAATAAGTTGTTAATGACTAAATCACCGCTTCGTGTCAAACAAATATTTATCCCAAGTATTACATGAAACGTCACAAACAACAAAAATGAACTTTGAAAATCTGATATGCTATCAAGTTTCCAAAATCCACAATTGCGGTCCGTTAATCTCTTCAAGAATATCCATTTTCAGCTCCTTTTGTAATAATTCGCCGTGTTAGTTGTACCTTCTCATGCGTCACTTAGATTATTCGTTTTGCTTTACTTTCTGTTTAGTTTATGGGACAACACTTTGTTGATTGTGACTACTGATAATGGCGGGGCATCTGATGAAGGTGGTTACAACTGGCCTCTTCGTGGTGAAAAAGGAAGCCTCTGGGAGGGAGGGGTCAGAGGAGTGGGTTTTGTTCATGGAAAAATGCTGCAGAGGACTGGAGTCACGTGCAAGGAGCTTTTTCACGTGACTGACTGGTACCCAATCCTCCATCTTGCAGGTTTGCCCCCATTGATTGTTACAAATACTTAGATCACGTCACTCCTTTAGATCACTGAAGTGCCCTGTAAGAGTTGTTTATTGTCTATTTTTAATTATTAGAAAAACAAAACGCTATTAGGCTCCTGCTTTGCTTCTTGTTCCTTGTCAGGCATAGAAGAGGATTCTGATAGTTCAGCGCTGGATGGCTTCAACATATGGCGCGCAATTTCTGAAGGGGTCCCATCAGAAAGAACAGAGATTCTTCACAATATTGACGGAAACAGTGCGGCAATTCGTGTGGGCGACATGAAGCTGTTGTTAAACGTAAAGAATCAAGAATGGTATGAACCGCCAGAGTTGTCCTCTGGGGCAAGGAAAGCGAAAAAGGTATTAACAAGAGAGCATGATGGGATAGAGAGGGAAACGCCTTGTCTACTGAGCCCTTGGGACTGATGGGAATTTCACCGAAAATATTTTTAGACCAAATAAACGCTTGAAATTAATCGGAGGTTGGTTTCAGGAGGTCCACGAACTTTTAATCACTCAGTAGTTTTAAGAGGAAACTCAACAGTCACCACTCATAATTCTGCATTGTTTGAGGCAGTCTCAATGCTATGGCCCTCATCTTGCTATTTACTAGAATGGTATCTTCTAGGGGTGAAATTAAGCTTAGGCCATGCTGGGTTTAATCCCAATAGGTCATTTTACAGTTATGTATGGAACCGAGGCTGGGGTTGACCTTGTTTTGATACAAACCTTCCTGCTTTATCATGTAAATCAAGTTATTCTTATGCTAACCAGTATTTTTCACGTACAATTTCCATAACAAAGAAAAGGAGGTTTGTATCAAAACAAGGTCACCGTCAGCCTCACATTCACTCGAAGGCTAGGGTGCTTAGTCCACAACTGAAAAATGGTCTATTGCCCGAAGAGCCCCTCGGCCCGCTTTACATGTCGGTCACCTCTCTCCTCCGCTCCCCCACACGCAACTGGGTATTCCTACGAGACCAAGTGCGTTATCCACAGGATAGAAGTTTTTCCACTGCAAAGCATTGTCCTTAATTTAATGAACTGTTGCCATCCACGAATTCTGAACCATACATGAAGTCACCAATACACCAATAACGAGCTGACCACAGGCGGCCCAAGCTCAGTGTGTGAGTTTAATCATTAATAGATGTAGTTTCATGTTGTGTAATTTAAGCGATTTCCTTTAACTTGAGAAACTCGGGGTTAAAATAAATCGCTTAAATCGCAATGCATCGGGGAAATAACCAAACAAAGCAAAGTCAATACGGTAAGCTGTATTTTATTGAACATTCTAGAGAGTATTTATCTACTTGAATCTTTTACCTGAATTCCCATATAAATCCTTTATATTCACGGCCATTTTAAATTACGAAGTATGAAACTACATGTATTAATGATTAAACTCACACACTGAGCTTGGGCCGCCTGTGTTCTGACGTGCTGATTACATCCACTTTCCTTCTTTTAATCCTACAAAATTAATTATACACAAACTAACGAGCTGCGATTTGCTATTTAAAATCTTATCATCCAGTTTAGTTAAATGTTTAGTTGTTTAGTTGTGACACATTGCTTCATGCACATATTTTCTTTAATCTTCTAACTGCCTCCTTTTGTCATCCGCAGAAATCTGGTCGCAAAATTAGAGCTGCACTTTACAATATCACCGCTGACCCAAATGAGAGTCAAGATCTCAGACGCACGTACCCGGATGTGGTAAGGACGTTAAGAAGGAGAATCAGGTACTACAGGAGGGGCGAGGTGCCTTCTGGGAAACAAAGCTCTGATCCAGAAGCAAGGAAACTGGCGCGCAAAAATGGGTATTGGGGCCCATGGATTAACTGAGATTTGAAATTAGAAAAAAATGAAAGTCTCTTCATTGATAAAATTTATTGCAGACAGGGATAAATTAGCTTAGGTGATTTTATCGACGTTTATCGACGTGCAAGATGGCCACAGCTTTTTTTCGATTCGTGCTCTGAAGTGCGTTATTTGACGGTTACTTGTTATTTTAGGAAGATAGTACTGATTTTCATTATACTTTGATTTCTCATGCTGCTGCCGATTGTTACGAATAAAGACTATTGCTGTTGACAAAAAGAGAGAATGAATTTGATAATAGGATCACTCTCCTATCCGGGTCAACGTTTCCTCAAATAAACAATTTGGCTCGCCCAACTGTTCGTCTAGTCAGAGCGTGAGCGAACGATGTTGGCTTGAGTAAAGGTGTCAACTTTTTCCTTACTTAAAAAAAAAAAAAAAAAAAAAAAAAAAAAAGAGAGAGAGAAAATACTCGGCAAAGAGGGCAACTCTCTTTCCCGGATTATGAACAGTGTGTACGTGAGGCTGATATCGGGAAACAGCAATGGTCATAATTCTCTATACAATGCAGTGCAAAGTTGACCGGTTTTTTTATTGGAGGCAATTTTGTTTTATTGTTTTCTGATAGTACCGTTCTTGTTATTAACCCTCGGACGTACATGCAAATTCATACCCCCACCGTGGTACAAGGGGGGGTGGATGGACCCCCCCCCAGACTTTTTGATATGTTGCAGTATTTCGAAACGATTTTACCTTCAAGGGATGCGATCACGGTTATGCGCATGCGCGCCGTTTGTCTCTTCAGAATAAATTTGTTGGGTCAGCACTAAATTCGAAATCGCCATTACTGGTACAATCATTGAAAATCCTTCTTTTTATTCCGACATCCGTCGCTTTGGCTGGCCTAGTTATACTTTGGTAGTGGTTATTAGCGTGTGGTTGTGTTTTTTGACCGGTTACGTTTTAAGAAGACGCAAAAAATAATGTTTTGATCATGGAGCATTCTCGTCCCCAGAGTCTGTCATTTCTTGGTCACGTGGTTGGGAAACGAGGGGCTCTGGAAGTAGCCGTTACCGGACGTCAGAAAATTTCTGATTTCCGGTCGCGCATGTGCAGAAGTTACAAATATCACTACTCATGCTCATAACGGATTTTTGTCCCTCACTGCTCCACTGGGGAAAAATTTTACTTCCTGAGCTCTCTCCAGAGAGTGGCTTCTTTGGGATGTTTTGAAAATGCACCACTTCGCTCAACCTGGATTCACTGATAATTTGGAGTTAAAAGAAGAAGACAGTAACTGAAACCGGCTGAACACACTGTTGGTATGCAGAACTGAGACAATTAATCGGCAGACTATCGTCTGAGTTATGTGAGTTTTTTTTTTTTCAATACGTTTGGTGAACAAACACTGGGAAAGCAATATCGCAGAGATCGATATAATGGTGGAAAAAGTCAATCTAAAAAGGTATCTTGTTCCATGTCCTGCAACTGCTATATTACTTCAAAACGCTTTTTGAAAAGAAACCATTCATGTGTTGTGTTAGGAGAGAAAAATATTTATTTCATTTCACTCGAGCTGGTTGTGTTTCTTCCTATGTTTATTTCCTTTTGTGCGGGTGTCGCATGTCGTTGTTTTAATTTTGCCCAGGCGCTTTTGTGTACAACACGTGTTAGACAACCGAAGGATTTACGTCGAGACAAATCAATATTAATCATTTTACCGACCCAGGGTAAAAAACATATATTACAAGGTTTGTTCAGGAGAAGTGCCACTCTACTAGTGGTCCACTTATCTCCAGATGTGGGTGGACATTTTTATTCTGGATGCACACGATTACACCTTTGTCAAATTCAAACTTTTTCAAGACCATAATACATGCACCTCCATGGGCTTCGATGCATGGAAACTTTATACAGTACTGAGTGAATCCAATTCCACTTCGGTTCTCTCTGCATATCAACCCTAACTGAAACTTTAACCCCAGTTTCCTAACCCTGATCATAAAACTTCTGGGTCATTGGGTATTTATGGGGGCCATTCAGTGTTCTCCTAAAAGGGTTTATCCTCCTAAAGATTTCAGGTATCATCTCCTAACTAAAGATCATCATCAGTACCTCAAAGAGAGAGTTTTCAATAATTTTGTTGTCAGACTCAGAAAATCATTAATACCTGAAAAATGTTTATTGTGTAGTGACCAATCACCATAATGTTTAGTAAACATGTATGACGAAACCTCACAACCACAAAGTAATTATCATTGCTGTTTGAGGTTTTGTTTTCTCACCCCTTATTAGCTTTTTCTTTGCAACGCAATAGCATTCCTAATATTTGTGGTATTCATGGTTTTGTAACTTTCACAATATAGGTGAGCTCTTGTCACCTCTGTTGTAGGGGTATAAACAGTTATATGTACTTTTGATTACCGGTTACCACTGGACACTAGTTTAGTAGGAAGTGATGGTAATTATGCAAATGCATTTAGAGATAAACCTGTTTAAGTACCACTTATGAGCTCATGGGTTACATATCGGCTTTGTAAGGGGTTTTAAGTTTTTTTTTCTTAGGACAGGGCTAACAACTAGGGGGACATTTTTTCTTGTTCACTGGTAAATGGGCTTATAACTGGGGGGCTTATAAGTTGGCCGGTGGGGGAGGCTTAAAAGCAGTAGTTTATGGTAGCCTGTGCCAGACATTCAGGTATTGGGGAAGGTGCAAAGAGAACAAAACTAAAAAAAATCCTGCTTTTTTTAATGCTCTACTTCTCACTATCTGAATGCCTAGAACGGGTTATCATAAGCTATAGAGCTGTACTTTCTTATCTGGAACAGTGAAATGTAGAGTGATATATGCACTGTATATAGACTGTATGCGTTAAGAGATCCCCCCCTCCATTAAGGAGTACACTTTGAGTAACACACAACCCAAAAGCATTTTCTTGGGTAGCTGTACTCATCATGCTTTAACAGTGGAGTGCAAGACCTGCAAGGTTTGAAATTGGGGATAGAACTCTGGATCAGGCCCGAAATAGGATAGTGAAAATCACTTAGTTTGGTCAAAATTTGTACAGTACAGTATCTGCTCACAGGTTTTGATAATGTATAAGTTTTTAGTTCCTTTAATATTCTCTATTTTGTGATATGACATGAGGCCTCCAACTAGGAAAAAGGTTTAACCACAACTGAATCATTGACCAGTGGAAGCAAGTTTTAATTTGGCGCATCATTATTTGTCAATAACCAAGTAAACTAAGATGTCCTATGCTTCAGTAAGCCAATGCTGTGTCCAAGCTCAAGGAGGGGTGGAGAGCAGGTGTGGTTAGGATTGGCGAGTAAACTATGATATTACCGTTGATCAAACTATAATGTTGTCTACCCTATCAAAGGTGACATACTGCAAAATCCAGTTGTTATCATCAACAACCACTTACCCCAGTATGATGCAAAATAGACTACTCTAGGCTGTTGTTCATTTATCATTTTATTAATTAACACCTAAGTTGTCCCTAAGATCGTCCAAAAATCTAGACCAGTTTTCACATACTGTATGCTTAATTATAAACAGTTAAGTTTTCTTGTATTTTAGAATTCTTAAACCGAAAAGGTTGAGAACATTGTGCTACCCTATGTAGTGATCAGATAACATAATTATTTATCAAGAAAAATTGTGCAAAATCTGCTTCTTTGTTAACCGTTCATCAGTTGTAAGTAACCCCAGAGCCAGTTGTTTATCTTTCTCTAAATGCCACACGACTGGAAGCCAAGCAAGGACTGTTAGGATGAGAATCTTCCAGCAAAACCTTAACAAGTCGGCTCACATAACCTTTTCTTTCACAGCCCAATTCTTACTGTTAAAATAAAAATTAAAAGAGCGCCTCCGAATTATCTAAGCATGATTTAAGCATTAATTAAGTGAAAGAAAACGTAGATTGGAAAGAGTAGTTGCTCTATCATCTTTCACAATTAAAAAATTGCCTGTTGCATGCAGCCTAAAATGATTCATAAGCAATTCAGTTCTGGCTTTTTGCACTGCCGTCAGTGGTCTAATGAAATAAAGACATATAACAAAATATTATCTTCACCTTAATATAGCAAAGGAGATGTTCTTTCAGCAGAAAATACAATAAATTAAAAGCACACTGCAAGAAACTTAACGTATAAATCATTTCTGTAATGTAGTCGGAGCTTGATTTCCTTTGCTACTGTAGCACCGACGAATATCCAGAGGAATTAGAAAAACTGATTAGACTAATTAATAACGCCATACAAGTACAGTATCAATCGCTTGATTTTTAGTGAGCAAGGAGCAACAGGAAGAGTTAACTAACCATTACTCCTCCTTTCAGTTTCCCAGGAGATGCGACGGTCGAGACAGGGGCAAAGTTTAGCGCACAACGAAGGCAATACTTTCTTTGTCAAGGCTCGTTGTCTTTGTAGAAACTTCTCCAACTTTACCTGCAATTCTCTTCTTCACTGCTATTGCATATAAACAAAACAGGATTGTCGCAATCAACAAATCTCAGAGACGGATTTTATGTTTTCAGGTCGAGAGAGCACGAAGTAAAATGTTATGCGCAGTAGATTTTATCTTTAATTTGCTCTGCGCATTCAATTGCCTTCAGCCAATGAAAAAATTCGTATTTTCCGTTGCGTCCAGAGCCACTGATCGGTTACAAATTAAGTCGAGTGGCTCTGGGGACGAGAATGATCATGGAGGTTCAGAAGAGCATCGTGGCCGTCTGGCAACAGGACGTTCTCAAGAGTCTTTGGAGATAGAGAAGCTCAGCCGATCGATCTGGTATGGTTCTAGGAGTAGTGTGTGGCGTACGAAAAGAATACACGACACTTGGAAAGTGGTTAAAGGCATGAGTTAATTCGTTCAACTTTGATTTGATTTTTGACTCCGACCTGTAGTTATACCGCAACAGGCCGCGAGATCTTCACCGATCTGGTACACTTGAAATGTTCTTTGTATCTTTGCATTCACTATCGTATATGTTTAAGAATTGATGTTTTTAAAATAAATT